CATAAAATAATTAAAACTATAACAAGTTGTAGTTCATCAACACTATACTGCCCTCTCCAGTTTGATCGGGTGTACAACAAGTTCCTTGTCACATTATCCGACACAATTCCAACGTGCATTTGAGTATTTAAAAAAAGAGTTTCAAGCTCTGGCTTTTAAAGTTCTTAGTTGATCTACCTGCTCCTCTTCCTCTTTTTTCTACAGATCTCTGCTCTCTCATGTGTCTTCCTCCTGCATAATGACTCTTGACACCCCCGTCCACCTGCTTCTCCTGTTCCTCCACAAACCCCTGCAGATCTGACAGGGAGAAACCTCGAAGAACCTACAGAAAGAGATGAAAAGGGACGCGTCTGCCATTAACACACAGAGAATCAGAGCCAGTTACTGGGAGTACTTAATCAGGTTTCTGGGGTACTTCACTGGCTGGAGCTGAATAATGGCACTATTGTCTTGCCACAGCTGCTTTACAGCAGAAAGTCAGAGCAAGTCTGCAGACTTTGGCCTTGACAGGTTTCACAGAAAAGCACATAGTGTAATGATGGGCACAGGCTCTGATTTTTTTGTAGCCTCAATGGGTGGACATCACACATGTTTGATATTTTGAGCAATAAGTAAAAACCCTGCCATTCTCAAAACAATGCATCAATATTATATTAATTATATCTGTTCATGTTCAGGTTGCATGGACAGATTGCAAACTACTATTTATGTGGTTTTTGCATGATATGAAAGACTCACTGAGCAGCGTTCACTGAAAGAGTACGTCACTTTAGGTTGCAGGCTTGGAACGTTAAGAGTAGGAGCTATTTTACTGGAGAATCTCAGACGGGGTCTGAAATATGAAAGGACAGTTTGTGAAATTAAAAACAATAGGAATACTGTCTTGACTTATGTCATCTAAGTCCCATATATTCTAACTTTCTTTGTGGGTCTCCTTCATCTGTGGGGCTCTGGGGTTCTGAGCGCGGAAATGCAGTCTTCAGAGTGTCCACTATGTTCTCCACCATCTGTTTATATGGGAAACATGTCGTACAGACAAACAGGCAAAACAAACAGAAATGTCACACTAAAAGTCTTTCTAAAGATTAAAAGGAATTTAAGTACAGTATGTCATGTCCCATGATAAGAGTGACCTTGTCTATGCGTGAACTTGACGGCTTTTTCTGGAAAGCTGCTGTGGCATCAGTGTTGAGGGCAAGAAATTCATGCACTTCCTTACTGTTAGCTGCCTCTGGGATGGCGCACAGTTTCTGCAGGAGTCGAAAAGGAAGTTTGAGAGAGAATAAGTCTAGGGTTTTTCATAAAAGTCACATTTCATCTGGCCAAAGTTTTATCAGTGAAGGAAAATCTCTTACCCTGAGGAATGATTCCAGTTGGCTTCTCCTGGCTTCCACTTTGTCTGTGTCTAGGTTGCTGAAGGGAAGGTCTGGGAAGAGTTTCTTTGGACCTTTGACATCTTAAATGTGAGCAAACATTTTTAATATGGATCAAAGTCGAGATGATGCACCTAACTGTCAACATGACATCTTTGGTTATGACTATTTATAGTTACAGTTACAATCTCAGTACAGCATGTAAAGATATTAAATATTTACATTAACAAGATTTGTCGTTTAAAAGGATTGAGACTTCAGTGTACTGCCCTGATGACAAGCTAAAACTATATATATATATATATATATAGTTTGAAAGGTAGTGTATATTACTTTTTACTATGCAATTCTGACAACATGTTCTAATTAGGTCTAATACTATATAGTCCAATATAAAATGCATTTATGTTTAATATTATGTGACTCAATAGCTTACGTTATTGTCGTTTAAAAATGTCTTACTTTTGATCACCTTCCTGAGAACAGGCCTTTCCTCCAAACGGACCTGCAGATTGAGGAACTCACTGTAGCGCCGGTTCACCATATGATATACAACAGGCTGATCAGACTTTGACCTCTCTGAATCTCCAGCGGTTTTATACTACGAACACACAAAACGCAATGAATCAATACTGAATTAGTAAAACAGGTAAAGAAAATGCCCCTCAAAAATTCCTTTTCATGTAATGCACTGATTCCAAGTTATGTTCCAAATTAAATACAATAAAGGAAAAGTCTTCCTGTAATTTCTGAGAGTCTCACCTTTATAGTGTAAAGAGTATAAGGATGAGTGCTGTTGCTTCTTTGCTCTTTGGCTGTGCTAGTCCCAGTGATTTGCAAGTTCTGAATAGTTACCGGTCCCTCTAGATTTCCCAAGTTATCGAAAACTAACGAGTCCAGACCAAGGCTTCTGGGGATGGAGTTTGATGTGTAAGTCAGGGGTTGGACTGGACACTCTTCCACTGTACTCTCCGGTGATGGAGGCTCTGAAATGATCACATTTTGTCTGAAACACTTCCCCAAAAGACCCAATGTGTCTTCCTCCAGACAAACCAAGCCACAAAAGTCTGAAGGAGACATGCAGTCGCAGAAGTTCTCATCATCTGAGTCTGTTCGTTTCAAAGACTCACTAGATATCTTTCTCTCATCTGAAGAGGGTGAATCCAGGTCGTAGTCAGTGTGTTTATAGAGGCGGCTGGTGCGGTAAGGAGATCTGAGCAGTTCGGCTGTACTTTGGGTCATTCTTTCTGGAAAAAGAATGCTGGAACTTCTCGTCCCTTGTACATTTTCATCAGAGGACCACTGACTCTGGAAACTTGTTTCAGATGAATCATGAAGGGGAGCTGTGGATTCAGACCAGGCTGTCTGCATGCTGGAGGTTTCAGGACAGTTGGAAGTAATTGGGGAGTCACAATCCCAGAAGCTGCCAACAGATTCTTCCTGGTCTTCTGGAGGTGTTTGCTGTGGGCTTGGTGCTTCTTTGTCAGTGGATTGGGTGAACACATCTACAATGGTCTGGTTTAACCAATCTGGATTGGATATTCTTGCCACGAGGGGCAGAACAACATTGCAGGTGATGAGCTCTCCCACCATGTACCGGCCTGTTCTTGTTTCCAAATGAGATTTGGGAATAAGGACGTGCATGAGGAGATCTACCAGTGCTCTGGTGTAGCAGAGCTGGTTAGCTGGGCCAGTCAGGGCAGGGTGAGGAAAATCAGCTCTAATGTACAATCTCCGTAGTTTTTGTGAGTTTGAAAAGGTTTGGTTAGACTCTTCGTGCAGTGTGCGTTGGAGTTCCTTGGCTTGGCTAAAGCTTTGCAGATGGCATCCGCAAAGCTCTAGAACCCTCTGGGCCAGCGCTCTCCGGTCCACCTGCTTCGCCCTCCTCTTCAGTTCAGCGGCCGCCTCCAGCATGGCATCCCTCACCTCCCATTCAAACTCATCCCCTCCTTTAGAAACAGAACTGCAGTACCAGGATGACACAAAGTCACAGCCTTGTCAACGGCACTCTGAATCTCCCAATCCAGTCTTTGTTCACTCTCTGAGGTAGTGTGAACTTCAGGGGACTGACGCAGCGGTAGAAAGTGCTCCAAATGAAGCAGGCTGTTGGCATCCAAAGCGACACGAGATCCCAGCCATCCACCCAGCACGACCAACAGACTGGTGAAAATGCACAGCAGCCACACATTCACCAGAAGATGGAACAGAACTAACCATGCAATAAAAACTACAACTCCAAGAATGCTCCTCTGCCCCAGTAACTCAGAGAAACTCCACGGATTTGGATTGGCAGCACCAGGCATTTTGTCACATCTGAGATCTTAAATTGGAAAGGGATGGACTGTCAAATAAATAAATTATAATAATTAAATTAAATGTAACATGAGAGCACGTAAAATGTGTTACAAAATAAAATACAAAATGTTAACATCTCAACACAAAGGACAAGCAAGATCTTGTTTTTCAGGTAAACATTTATATTTTGTTTTAATCTCTTTATTGCATACCTCATGTGGCAGATTATAATCCGTATAAAATAATAATACTTCAAAACAAATAGCCTAATAATTCAAAATAAATTGCCTAACATTTAATAATTTAAGTTCCTCGTTTTGCCATGAACTACAGTATTATCATATTTAAGTCTGATATACTCACCAATAGAAAAAAAATGTTTTGAGGGAAAACTTACTGTTTCAGTGAGGTAGTGAGCAAATGAGAGGTCACAGTTCCTGATGATCATTAAACCATCCGTGACTGAAACAATCTTCTTCACTGCACATCGTCAGGTAGATGTGCCCAAAAGCTGTCTATGAGATGGTCAGTATACCAATATTGTCTTTTAAATGGTGTTTGCATCGCATGTCGTTGCTATCGACGTTTGCAGTCTGTCTAATCTACTTGACTCTAATCAGATTATTTAACAAACTGTCCGCAACAGACTAGACTTGAATTGTTAAACCCCGACTGAACAACGCCCTCTACTGCAGCTGCTGTGAAGTTCAACAACAATAGCCCTTTCTGATCCGCAAATTCCAGGGCCAAAGACATGACCATGCTTTTTTTTCTGTTCTGTAGGTGATAAATGGTAATCAATTAAAAAAGTTAGTGAGGAATTTTTATAGCCTATATATTTTTTCAAATCTCCATTAAAACGGAACAACATTTCGTTTATTTAAACTTAAAATTTAAGGTTGGCCTAATGAAAAGTCATTGTAAATTTGAAATAGCCTGCTAAATATTTGTATACGAATTGCTAGAATTATTGATATCTTATTTCATTGTCGGAAGCGCATACAACTATTTTAACTGTAACTGTAACCATTTTAACTGTAAAGTATAATAACAAGAATGAAAGATTATAAAAAAAATATTAAATCCTAAATGCAATAAAAATAAAACATGCAATATAGACCTAATATAACCTACTATATATGGAGTTTTAAGATTTAAATGTAGTTTGAATTAGGCTATGCATTCCTTTCCTGCCTCTAAGTCAGTTTTTTTTTTTTTTTTTAACGAGCAACAAAGTGTAAATTAGAAATAAATAAACACCAGGGACAAGAAATGTTCCAAATTGATGCGTATCATTTAATTCAACAGATCAGTTCATCATAATAACATTAGCCTAATTACATAATGTGAAACAATAACAATTTGAATTGATAATGAAACTTGCAACTTACATCTGTTAACACGATTACAAACAACAGATAGATAAATGACACAAGTAGCATTTAGTCTAAATAAATTAAATAGACTACAAAAATATACACCTTAACACAGATGTCAGAAACACGGAGGTCTGGGGACCCTTTCATGTTCATAATCTGAAAGATACAGGGTGAGAGTTACATTGTGTCTCTTTCTCTAAACCTTCTGCCTTTACCACCTTTACACACGTGTTTTTCCTGAAAAGGGCAGATGTCTTCCTGGCACTCCCAGCACGGCTGAACATCATGGCCATCAGAAGCGTCGAGATGGCACAGATCGCAGCCTTCGGTTTTCGTCTTTTTGCGAATCATCCGTCGAAGCTCCCTGCGTTTAACGTCATCCACACAGCACGCCACGTCAACCACGCTGATGCGCTTGGGGTCCCACACGCAGTCCTCCTCGCGACCAGACTTGATGGTGGAGATGTTGCTGTTTGGTGGAACCCATGCGCAGTCGTACCCGTTGCTGTGCCACGATTTCTGGAGAGGATGATTGTCACCGTCTATTTGCTTCACTTTCCCCACACGCACCCTCAGTTTGAAAACGACTTTGTCCTTCTTGTCAGTATTAAGCGGGTAACATTTGGCTTTCTCAATGTTACGACTGACATAAACCCCGGGGCCCAGCATTCCATCTTTAGAGCGTTCAAATCCTTTATCAATGATGGTTTTGGCGTTTGTCAAATGTGTGCCGTGGAACATTGTATATACACGGCCTGACTTCGGTTCCTGGTTCTCGGACAGAGATTTACTGCGGTCTTTAACAGCTTTCCAGCCACAGAAAGACACACCTCTCTCCATTCTAAGATTGAATACGAAGATTACATTTATATATACACCCACTAAAACAACGTTTTATTTTAAAAATCTACTCATATTTGCTCACCTCCTTCAGGATCTTCTATGCCACCCGTCAACTTTTTACTTTCGATTTCGTTGCATAAGAAAAAAAAAAAAAAAAAAAAGAACAAGAGATTTCCTTTTGTTATCGTCGATACCATGAAAAAAGCTGTGTTAAAACTTAACACTAAGGATGTTTTCTAGGCATAGATGTTTTATAAAAACGTGGTTCTTGATTATTATTACATTTCTAAAGGAACCAAAATGTTTAACATCCTCATGACAACTTTTAAATTAGGTTATATAGGCCTAAAGTAAATTCTTACAGATAGGCTACAGTCCCTCTGGAACATCTTTGCCTTTCTGATGCACTGTAACAAAACTTTTCATCATTTATCATTTGATTAACTTTTCCTTTAGCCTATAACTTTGATTTAACGTAAAATGTTAATGAAACAAACTTAGTTCTTAAAAATTGGGTTATATCCTTTATTTTATTTAGCTATTATTATTGGGCTATTATTATCCAGTGATGACAAGCAGAATAATCCATTCCTGGGTTTTAAACCAGTCTTTACATAGCATATCCACCAGGGTACCCCATATCCCACCTAATTTCCTCCGAAAGAAAAGTTTTTGACACAGGGCCTCTAAAAAAAAAATTTTTTTTTAAATCTGAAACTAGAGATTTTTAGATTTTAGATATTTTCACTTGTCTTCATCTTAATGTGGTACTGTAAGAAGAATTACATTCCTCTTTTTTCTTCCTCATTTTCCTCGCAGTCATACTCGGCTTTTAATAGGGCTGTCACACTCTCCATTTTTTCAACAGTGCAGCTTTAATAGTGTGCTCTGATCTACAGTAGATGCAAATTAAGAAACGTCTCCAAGCCATTTATTTGCATTTAACCAAATGATGAAGGCTTCACAAGTGAAACCATGTGAAGGGTATGAATAGAGGTGCGTGAGCTTGACCATACATATATGTCTACTTAAATCTTCTTTCTTCCTTTGATATAATGAATGTGGTGTATGATTTCTGCTGGAACAGAAAACAAAACTGAAGAACTGAGAACCCTCACAGCGCTCGTCTAAAATTATGATGGAGACAGGTGAGTTATTGAGATTGTACGTGAAAAAAATTATTTTCATACTATCTTTATTTAATATTGTTCGATGTTCAATTTGTAACGCGTTACTGTTGGGGCTGTAGCTACATTTACATTAAATGTGCTCACGTAAGTATTCGTAAATTATAATTAAATTTGTGTTAAAAAGTATATGTCGACAATAGCATATATTTGTATATACCGTAATAGCACATTTGTTCACTCTTTTCATCTAAATGTGGGCTATATATAAAACATCTAGGATAAATCTAACTTTTCTGAGAAAAATGCCTCTCTGAAAAGTAAATGTACATTTTTAAAGAACCTTTCTTGGCCCAGTTGTAAAACTTAAAAAATAAATAAAACAATTAAAAGAAACTTTAAATACATTTTAAAATCTGTACAACAACTGACACGTGCAAATATGTGCTTTAGAATACGGGTTTTTCATAAGCCAAGTTGTGATAAACGTAATTACTTGTTAAAAGCTAACAGAAATGGTAAATAAACAAAAAATTTCGTGTAAATCATTGTTTTTGACACTCTTGTTTTTTTAAGAATTGTTTTCGACTCAGGTGACTATAACAGTGTTCGTAGAGACCAAAGTGTGTAGTAAATAACCGGGGGGGGGGGGGGGGTTGGGGTGCAATAAAAAAACTTTCTCAAGAGCAATTTTTGAAAGGGACACAAATAATACAGCTAAAATTGTACTTGTAAGGACAAGTATACACAGCCTTACTACCAGGGCTGTCCTTAGGGGGGTGCAACTGGTGCGGTAGCAGCGGGCCCCGTGCTTGAGGGGGCCCCGCAGGAACAGACCGAGGGGGACCGATGTTTAAGTGAATAAAATAGCCTTGACAGTCGAGTTACACAACTATTGACTTTGTTCTCGCTCAGCGGACTAGTGTGTGTGTGTAGGTGATGCAGGGTTGCCGGGCTTTCGCAACAAAACCCGCCCAATTGCTACTCAAAACTAGCCCAATCAGTTTCGAGGGGGGTTCCCCGGTAAAAATCGCGTTCGGGGGTAAAATACACGTTTTTCAGTGGGGTTCCTCCCACGGTAAAATTCACATTCATATCATGTTATTTGGGTCGCTTCAACCCGCAAGTGGCAAAAGTGTTAAAGTAGCCCAGTTCCGCGGGAAAACCACGGACTCGGCAACTGAGGTGATGTAAAAGAGGAAAGCAGGCATTTGGACCAAAGCACTGTGAGGCAAGGGAGGGGGAGATTCAAAATGTTTCTAAACTTAAAACGAATTTTTGCCCCGTTTGCGTTGTTTTACTACTTACAAAGTTATTTAAAGTATAAAACATTGTTATTTACAATACACAGCTGGTTTTTAATCATATTTTTAGGGGGGACAACCCTCAGATGGGGAGGTCCTGTCCCCCCCCGGGATTTCCGCCTATGTAAATATATGACTAAATGTAGTCGTTTTCTGCAATCTATCCCACAACAGTAAAAATTTCAAGCCCTCTCTTGTCTCTTTCTATATGTCAAGTACTGCCATTTATGGCTGTTAACGGGTGGATTATGACATTGGGCTAAACGACTGTGAGTGCACACCCTAAACCACAGTGAAACTAGTCGTTAATATTCAGCATTCTTTGCGTGAAATTACGTAAAAGATACTTAAAACAACCTTACTGTGAATTTATTAAAATTTTATCAAAAGAGATATGCCCATGTGATGTTCTTTTTATCACCATAATGTAAATAAGATTTAAGAAATTACAAGTTTTAATCAAAACAAAAAAGGTTTGAATTAACAGTAATTAAATTTGCTTATGTCTATATTACTGAATATTAATATACAGGTCAGAAGAAAGCAGGAGCTTTTGTAATAAGTTTGGAATTTTTGTTATTGAAGTTGTAAATAAAACAAATATTACTGGAGTAGTTTTTTTCAGTTTTTGTACTTCAGAATTTTTATTCAATCTATTACTTGCAGATTCTTTGTAGGTAATTGTGGAATTTACTACCAATTGTTTCTACATGATTTGTTTTTTTCAGTGCAGATTCAAAAACCCTTGAATAAGAGTCACTGGGGTACCCTATATATGTTGAGTGTGTATAAGCAAATTGAAAATCAAGATAAAACAAAAAATCTTCAATAAAGCCAAACTATCAGAATGGTTGCATAGCATAGGTTTAGGTAAATTGTTTTTATTTTAATAATTGTTTTAGTTATTATAAATTATGTTATATTGATTTAAACGATATAACATAAAACCAATAACTATTTATGATGACTTCTCAATGATTCAAATAGCAAGGACTGTCTGTGAATGTTTTTAAAGATTCTGCGAAAATCTTACATTATGACTATGAAACTAGTCGTTAATATTCAGCATTCTTTGCGTGAAATTACGTAAAAGATACTTAAAACAACCTTACTGTGAATTTATTAAAATTTTATCAAAAGAGATATGCCCATGTGATGTTCTTTTTATCACAAAAAAGACTTGTAAATATCCACACTGTTTAGCTATTGTTGCTTTGTTAAACTGTGAAGTCACTGCTCTGTAGTGTAAGGTCACTATCAACGTAGAAAGCTTTTGGAACAGACTTTATTTGCATGCCTTTATTATGTATTCATATAAATACATAGTCATTATGTACATTTAATCTTGGTTATTCAAAGAAAATCAGATTAACCAGAAGGTTCACGAAAACATGGCATTTTTGCTTTGCGCTATTTTATACAAACAGTGTTTTTGATCTTTGTAGTGCTTTGTTATTCTTATTTCTTAATTCCATAAACATTTGTAAATATATTTCTTTCTCCCCACAGAGTATTCCAAGAGAGTATACCAAGGTGTCAGAGTCAAGCATACGGTCAAAGATCTTCTTGCAGAGAAGCGATTTCGACAAACAAATGCACCCCGATTCAGTGTAAGTTAGCCATCATTCTAACCATCTGGTCTGATTTTCTCACATATTATAATCCCATATCCATAAGTGTTTTGCTCTGTCTTTATACAATAGACAGTATCTGAATTCAAGAATTTACATTCACGACATACAAACAAATATAAGTATAAAGTGTAAGACATCTCTCACACAGCCACACTGTTTAGCGCATCCATGCATGTCATGTCCTTGTTACTTTTTTTGGAGATAAATATCAGGCACACCTGCCAAAATCAGATCTACCTTCCTGAAAGGGGACAGACAGGTATTGTTACCAGTAGACGGTTAAACCCAAGCCTTAAATGAGGTAATCACTGAGGGATTTGCTACAAAATACAAAAGAACAGACAGTCCTTGTGCTCAAGTGAACTCTGGCTGCAGGTTGTTGTCTGCTGTTGTTTTGTTTTCTGTCCTTAGTGAAACTAATGGACCAGTCGGTTCATGCAAATGCCTCAGACGAAGTGGATGGCCTCAATATATATATCTGAACAACAGACCAGCAAAGAGATACACATAACATATTCTACATGATAAATAAAAAGCACTAGTTCATTATAGAAATAAATAGTTAACTACTATAAGAATTCCCTTTACAGACTGCGAGTCTCTAACAAAGAACGATATCTACTAAACAAATTAACTTAATTCCACTGCGTTCTTCTCCGGCACGTTGCAGAGTCAACTGGGATATGTTTCCAGTCATCCAATGATTTCTTTAGATCCTTGTGGCAAAATCTCATGAGAAGAGTACACACTCCACCGGAGGGAAGTGTACATTCAGAGCGAGGAGGGGAGCGCTGTTGTGACACTGGCAAATCATATTCAAATATCTTCCCACATGATTTGCCTGGCTTTCAACAGAACAAGCACTAAAATTTGCGCCTTCCTCTCTTTTTCTCCATATTCTCACTGGCTGTAAATCAGGCAAATACAATTCATTACACGCTGTCGTCTTAAGTGAAGATTATGAGAAACACACATAGACAGCCTGTGTTAATGTCAACTGACTCTCTAATGTTTTTGGTTTTCAGACGAGCAGCAGTTCCTCTCAGCCAGCTTTTGTACCGATGCCTGGTGAGTCCGTCTGGTAATGCTTATACACTCCTAGATCTAATTAGATAGTCAGGTGTGCTCAGTGAGAGGCTAATTCATCTTGAATCAGGGAGTTAACAGAATTTCCTGCTTCCTCTTGCAGGGTCGCATATGCTTCCTGGTTACTACAGTATGCGAAGATCCTTCCTCCCAGACTCAGAGCTCTGCCATCCCATGAAGCAGTACTCACCAGACACTTACTCTTCGGCGCTGGGAAGCAAGGCCTTCTCGTACGACCACCCCTCCACTTATCCTTCCTTCATCGACAGCTACTACACTCCTGATTCATATGGAGATTACAGAGGGCCAACATCTTATACCACCAGCGGAGGGTCACTGTTTCCACCATCTACACTACCAACACTACTACCAAGTCTGTCTGGAGAGACATCGTCACACTTGCACTTGGTATTTACACTTCCTACAACTGACATTATTTGGGTCAAAGATGTAGATGAAGAGTTTCCATGAAAAAGAAAAATCTCTAAAACTCATCTTTTAAGTTCTGCTTGTGTTCATGTTGGTTTCATATGGTAATGAAAACTGAAACAGTATCAGTTCAATAGCTCCAGAATGAATAAATAAATAAATAAATGGAAAAAAGTCCCTACACCTTGAATATATGTATGTGTACACATCTTAACCATTATTATCAAGCACATTTAAAAAAAAAAAATTATATATATATATTATACATATAAATTAATTTGTAAATATTATTTATGAATATCATAGGTTTTTTAGTTTCACACCACATGACATTTACATTACCATTCAAAAGTTTGGGCTCAGAAATGATTACTTTTATTATAATACTTTTATTTAAAGGACACATTAAATTGATCAAAGTGACATTAAGGACATTCATAAGATTTCCAAATAAATGCTGTTCTTTTAAACTTTCCATTCATCAAAGAATTCTGAAGAAAATGTATCACAGTTTCTACAAAAATGCCAAGCAGCACAACCTTTTTCAACATTAATAATAAGAAGAAATGTTTCTTGAGCACCAAATCAGAATGATTAGAATGATTTCTGAAGGATGCTGATAATGATGCTGAAAACTCAGCTTTGCATCACAGAAATAAATTACATGTATATATTAAATATATAAATACATTTAAAATATTTTCAATTGGAATAATATTTCACAATATTACTGTTTTTGCTGTATTTTTGGTCAAATAAATACTGCATTGGTGAGCAAAAGAGGCTTCCTTCAAAACATTAAAATACCTTACCGACTCCAAACTTTTGAACAGTAGTGTACAACCTGACATAACCATGACATAAGGTGACGCCACATGTTTTTGTAGAAAGTTATTTTTATATATTATATATACATTTTTTTGTCCAAAGAATAATAATAAAAAGATTATGTCAGACTACTTGATAAATTATTTTCTTTTTAAGAATTCAATTATTGTAATTAGACTTCTTTTTTTCTTCAGTTGTATTACTCTGACATTTTTTACATTTTGCCCCAAAAATACATATCACAATTAATTTTTGAATAAATTAATAGCGTCACGTTATTGACCCGTTTTCTAACCATATTAATGAAAAGATTATTTAGCAATGGTGTTTCTCTACACTACAGAGAGACCCTTGGGATCAGCCATCGGAGGACCCAGTCAGTCAGTCAGAAGTCATATGTCCTGAGGGTTCAGCACCTGGGGCAGACTCACCATCCCTGGGAGGGCCTGACTCTGGCAGTTCCTCTCCATACCGTCTATCCTCGGGGCGCAGTGGGAGCTCCATCCCATCCAGCTCTCAGGTTTATACTCTACAACCCCTGGAAGATGTCCCGTACCCAGCAGCATCGTACGCCTCTGCTTCCAGCTACTCCTGCCCGCCATACATGACAACACCTGGAGACCTGACTGTGGTGAAGATGACACCCGTCACCTCAGAGGAGGCTAGTGGTGAAGTGGTGTCTCTCAGTGACACTACAGCCTGGGCTAAAGATGATGGAACTGGCCCCTGGTTGTCATACGAGACTAGGAGGGCTTTTTAAGAGGCTTAAATGACAATACAAAGACTGTGGACTGATCTTGTGCAATGACACAGCATCTTTATTCTTATAGAGAAGGAGATTATATAGGTTCATCATAAAGATGACCCCAAGAACTGCTGATCACAATATACAATTTAAAAAAAATGTTGTATTGCTTAAGGATACAGCAAAGTATGTGTCGATAGTTTAGTTAATTCAAGGTTTAATTATGCATTTTACATGCCCAAGCGCTCTAGAATGAATTAGAAAGCAATGCTAGCTTTTTTCCTTTCTTATATTTTCACTTGTAACATAAGCCCTCAATGATTGGCCACGAATATATAACTCGAAAATAACACCAAATAACACTTTTTTTAAACAACAAGTATGTTTAGACTTTTGTCAGGAATGCCAATATAAAAAAAATAAAACATGTTTTGGCTTGAAGAAAGTGTGTTATCTTTATAAAACTGAACGGAATAGGCGTTCTAAAGAACAAACCTCTGGATACGAGTGCTGTTGTTAGGACGCCACTGAGTTGTTAAGTTAAGGCCCCCTTAGAGACAGGAGTGAATGAGGACATAAACACATCGCCTGTTCAAATTGATCTCACTTCGGACAACTTATCTCTAACACCAAATAACACTTTTTTTAAACAACAAGTATTGTTTAGACTTTTGTCAGGAATGCCAATATAAAAAAAATAAAACATGTTTTGGCTTGAAGAAAGTGTGTTATCTTTATAAAACTGAACGGAATAGGCGTTCTAAAGAACAAACCTCTGGATACGAGTGCTGTTGTTAGGACGCCACTGAGTTGTTAAGTTAAGGCCCCCTTAGAGACAGGAGTGAATGAGGACATAAACACATCGCCTGTTCAAATTGATCTCACTTCGGACAACTTATCTCTTATAAGTCATGCATTTATCAAGCAATTAAAATGTCAAAATAATAACAAATATGAATGTATATTTAAAAATATACAAGTCAAAGTACGTTATTTAATTTTGTTGTAACTTTTATAAGGGCTTCTATTTGTGAGCCACCGCGTTGCTAGGCGCTTTTTGTTTTTGTTCGTCTGGACAGCAGCGCACGTCAAAGTTTCTGAAGTTTGTTCTACATTTACTATGTAATCGTATTGCTGTTCAGAGACAGGTTGTTTTTGATGAACGTTACTTGTACTAGTACTATATCCAATTTTAGCTTCGGGAGTATGGGTCGTTAAATAGACGTTGTTTTGCAGTTGTCGTACGCCTCACATTATTAAGTCGATCTCAGAAAAAACACACTAGCTAGCTTAGCCTAGTTTGCCATGCTTTCCTTATATTATTCAATTGCGAAACAAGCCATGGGGAGAAAACTGCCTAAGTGATATGCGTACGTGTGTCCACTTTATACTGACTTGTACTAGCTTTTTACCTGAAAAGACACCGGACTGTTCTTCTGGGTCAAGGCTTCCTCGCTGATGATGGATCAGTACCATATTTTGGAGGTTATCGGGGAAGGGTCATTCGGCCGGGTGTACAAAGGCCGCAGGAAGTTTAGCGGCCAGGTGAGCGCTGCATGTGCGCCACGATGTCAGAAATTAGCTTTGTTTGTTTGGAATTTAATTCTCTCTCTCTCTAAATGTGTAACACAACAGCATGCCCTCCACATAAATCAAATGTCATTTGGGACAAAAGAAAAATAAAAACCGCATTCATCACCTTAGAACTTCTGTTAGCCAATCAGAATCAAGCATTTTAGAGTCTCGTGGTATAAATTTGAATAATTTGCTGGTCACTTCGTTAGATTGTTTTGTTTACAATAAATGGTTTTGGAGTTGTTTTCTCTACATTCAAGGCTAATTTTTTTTCTTTAGCTACACATTTAAAAACAGGGCTCCATGACACTGAATACCAAACAAATAATGGATATAATAGTAACTGACTTTATTAAAGACAGTCTCTCTCTCTCTCTCTGTCTGAGTAACATCAACCCTTTTTATTTTCTAGGTTGTGGCTCTGAAGTTCATTCCCAAAGTTGGCCGCTCAGAGAAGGACCTGCGTAGTTTGAAAAGAGAGATTGACATCATGAGGGGGCTTAAGCATCCCAACATAGTGCTGCTTTTAGACAGCTTTGAGACAGAGAGGGAGGTATGATTGTCACGACCTACTCTCAAGTCATGTTACATTTTCCACTGTTGCATCTCTGTTCCATAACCCGGTGCTTCCAGTATAACGGCTTGTTGAAATGAAACATAGCTCCCAGGGTTCACGATTTTCACATTCAAATCTCTAGGGAATAATTCTCGTTGGCAAAATATAGTTTATATGTAGACGTTAGGATATTGGCATTGGTACAACAAATGCAGTAAGCTTGTGACTTTGATCGTCCCATAAAATGTGTAACTGAGAAAATATCATTTAAAAAAAAAAAAATGAATTGGTGTCAGAGGAATAATTAGAGCATGTATTCCTCTGGCAGGTGGTGGTGGTGACTGAGTATGCAGAGGGTGAGCTGTTTCAGATCCTGGAGGATGATGGGAGTTTACCTGAGAATCAGGTACATCAGTGGTCACACTGTTTTACAGTAATTGACAGCCCAACGTTTTAGATTTGATTTATTTGTGGTGGTGTATAAGTTACAACTATCTAAGACCTGGTTTACATTTGGTAACTTTATAGACTTTAAAAGCTAATAATATAATCACTGATGCATATAAAAGTTAAAATATGCCATACAAATTAGAATAAACATACTTACATTTAGCCTAAAGTAAATGTATTTTTGAAAAATACATATATTTCATCACTTTTATTTCTTTGATTTGATGACATGCTGGATTTTTTGCTGCTCAAACCTCCTAACTGGGACACCCTCACCTGCTAACCTGTTATTTTATATCTTGTGTAGGTGCGTGAAATAGCCTGCCAGCTTGTTTCTGCCCTGTATTATCTGCACTCCCATCGCATTTTATACCGTGACATGAAACCACAAAACATCCTGCTGGGAAAAGGAGGAGTAGTAAAGCTCTGTGACTTTGGGTTGGTGTTACCAATTGGTGCAAATACAAGTTCAAACTACTTTATATTTATTTTTCAATAGCTAAAATAGCAATGGCTGCTAGTTTTCGAGGAAGCTTATGTTGGGCATCTCTGAAATTACTCTAAATTTCATCTCAAATGTTAGCATAGTGGTGTTACATTCTCTTGACTCTTCACAGATTTGCTCGTGCCATGAGTGTGTCCACCTTGGTGTTGACCTCTATTAAGGGGACACCTCTATACATGTCTCCGGAATTAGTGGAAGAGAAACCTTATGACCACTCAGCTGACCTTTGGTCTCTGGGCTGCATCCTCTATGAGCTCCACACGGGGGCGCCTCCGTTCTACACCAACTCCATCTTTCAGCTGGTGCAGCTTATAGTGAGAGATCCAGTGAAATGGCCAGAGAACATGAGCCAAGACTGCTTGGTACGGAGTAGTTGACTTTTCACATGAACACCTTTGACTCTGTTTTACACCTGAGCCCGATTTTGATTTTGTGTTGGCACCGAGATAAAAAAAAAAAAAAAAGGATAAGATAAAAGTAGAAGTGTTAATTTATGTCAGTATGTCCTGGTTTTGGTAACGTTAAGTCATGTATAATATATAGTACAGAATTTCAAATCCTTTAATTTACTGTCTGTGGGTTCTCTTAATGTAGAGTTTTCTGAAGGGATTGCTAATGAAAGACCCAGAGAAGAGGTTGTCATGGCCTGTCCTGCTACATCACCCTTTTGTTGCAGATGGAGTTTTGAGTGAGGACTATTTAGTGTTTTATCATTCTAAGAAATTGTATTTTTCTGTGTACATATACACATATATATATGATATAAATTATATATATAACTAATACTTCAACTAAAATAAAGTATAAAAATAAAAGCAAATTCACACACACACACACATTCATATAAAACACATTTGTGTGTGTGAATTTGCTTTTATTTTTATACTTTATTTTAGTTAAATTATTAGTTTGAATCTTTAATTATGTGCTTTTGTCATTCTTATTAAAAAAATTTATATTACTATTTTTTTTATTTCCAGTTAGTAATTTTAGTGCTTCAACTTAAACTAAACAAAAAACTAGAAATGTTACTTTGGGACCTTATTAAATAAGTTTTTTATCTAACATTTATATTTTATTTTATTTAAGCTTTATTTCAATTTACAACATTTAAGTAGTTTTAGTTAACAATAAACACACTGATTTATGTGATTTATGATTCAGTCCTCTCAAAATGTAGAAATATTGTCCTATTAAAATCTATATATATATATATTTGCAAATGTCTCTGCAAACATTAACTAATAAAATATGATACAATTTAAAAACATACATTTCACATAACCTACATCAGTATATCTCAGAATGATACAATTTGAATTTATCTAACTTATTCTGTCATGTTGTGTGCTCTGGTAGTGGTGTCAGAAGAGGGTTCAAGCAACCCCCTGACAGTCCCACCCAGCCCCGACCTACAAGCCCTGAAACACCAGCAGGCTGCTGAGAAGACAACCGCACGCAGCGGAGAGGGCAAACTACTGCGCAAAGCTAGAGAGCTTCGGGAGAAAGAGATCTCACACACACACACATTCATATAAAACACATTTGTGTGTGTGAATTTGCTTTTATTTTTATACTTTATTTTAGTTCAATTATTAGTTTGAATCTTTAATTATGTGCTTTTGTCATTCTTATTAAAAAAATTTATATTACTATTTTTTTTATTTCCAGTTAGTAATTTTAGTGCTTCAACTTAAACTAAACAAAAAACTAGAAATGTTACTTTGGGACCTTATTAAATAAGTTTTTTATCTAACATTTATATTTTATTTTATTTAAGCTTTATTTCAATTTACAACATTTAAGTAGTTTTAGTTAACAATAAACACACTGATTTATGTGATTTATGATTCAGTCCTCTCAAAATGTAGAAATATTGTCCTATTAAAATCTATATATATATATATTTGCAAATGTCTCTGCAAACATTAACTAATAAAATATGATACAATTTAAAAACATACATTTCACATAACCTACATCAGTATATCTCAGAATGATACAATTTGAATTTATCTAACTTATTCTGTCATGTTGTGTGCTCTGGTAGTGGTGTCAGAAGAGGGTTCAAGCAACCCCCTGACAGTCCCACCCAGCCCCGACCTACAAGCCCTGAAACACCAGCAGGCTGCTGAGAAGACAACCGCACGCAGCGGAGAGGGCAAACTACTGCGCAAAGCTAGAGAGCTTCGGGAGAAAGAGAAGATTAACAGACGGGTAAACTCATACTACATCTGGGAACAACAGCACGCATAAACAAATTAGTTTGTCTTTGTTAGTTTTCTCTGTTAAAGGGTTGTGGATCTGTGTGATTCCTTTCTAATTTATTTAATTTTTGCAGTCAAATTAACTTTATGTAAATGAAATCAATGCTATTGTTGGTGAGATTTGTGCAAATTTGACTGTTTACTATATTACAGCATATGGAGAAAAATGTGCCTGAGAGGAGCTTTGAAAGTATCAGTTTCTGTGGAAATAATAAAACTGTTGGGTCTTGTTTTACTAGGAGATTGCGAGTGGAAGTGCTGCGCGCGCCAGTCAGACACGCTGTAAGACAGCTTCTGCTGGAGGAGCCCCCACCACTGGCCACTCATTGGGCAGCACCTTTTCAGTGTATCAAAATTCATCTCAGCCAGCAACCAATGAGCATCAAGCAAATGACATCAGTGTTACCAGGTAGTATTTCCACCTAGAATTTGAATTTGAAAACCTGTGGGCCTCAACTTAAAAATGGGCATATTAACAATGCTGCTGTGACAGTGAAAATAATGTTTCGACCGGAGTGAAGGAATGAATATATTATAAAACCAAATGTAGTGAACTAAAATGGTCAAAAACCTATTTAAACCAAGGATAAAAGATCTTGTGAAGAATCATATTTCTAAAAGCTAAAAACACATTGCAAATGCATTATTTAAATTTATGAAAAATAAATTTAAATGTATTTATTATTTAAATCAAATGTAAATTTATGACAATATAAAATAAGTCTTAATGGCCCTCTTCCCCATGTTCTTTGTTTTGTAAGATGGACCAGTAAAAAACTTTTACAATTTTTATCACAAGTATATTTAAATCATTTTTTATCGAGTTGTGAATAGTGTTTTTGTTTCCAAATTGAATTATACAAAATATCTGTATTTATTATTGTTTGTTGAATGTTGGATCTGTATCTGCCATGTAATAGCTTGTGATGTTGATATGGCAATAAATACTGTAATACAACAGCAACAACATCCCCATGTTCCTTTTTGTTTTTAGAGTGCGGTCAGCTCCACATAAAGGCCAGATCAGTAAAGACTATGAGAGGGAGTTCCCTTCGGTTGAGGTGGCAGCATCAAGCAAATGACAACAGTGTTACCAGGTAGTATTTCCACCTAGAATTTGAATTTGAAAACCTGTGGGCCTCAACTTAAAAATGGGCATATTAACAATGCTGCTGTGACAGTGAAAATAATGTTTCGACCGGAGTGAAGGAATGAATATATTATAAAACCAAATGTAGTGAACTAAAATGGTCAAAAACCTATTTAAACCAAGGATAAAAGATCTTGTGAAGAATCATATTTCTAAAAGCTAAAAACACATTGCAAATGCATTATTTAAATTTATGAAAAATAAATTTAAATGTATTTATTATTTAAATCAAATGTAAATTTATGACAATATAAAATAAGTCTTAATGGCCCTCTTCCCCATGTTCTTTGTTTTGTAAGATGGACCAGTAAAAAACTTTTACAATTTTTATCACAAGTATATTTAAATCATTTTTTATCGAGTTGTGAATAGTGTTTTTGTTTCCAAATTGAATTATACAAAATATCTGTATTTATTATTGTTTGTTGAATGTTGGATCTGTATCTGCCATGTAATAGCTTGTGATGTTGATATGGCAATAAATACTGTAATACAACAGCAACAACATCCCCATGTTCCTTTTTGTTTTTAGAGTGCGGTCAGCTCCACATAAAGGCCAGATCAGTAAAGACTATGAGAGGGAGTTCCCTTCGGTTGAGGTGGGACCCCGGCAGCTTCTGAAGCCCCCTGGACATGCACGGACCAGTCTGGCTTCTGTCAGGATGGACAGTGAGGTTGTTTTTTAATAATTACAATTTATAATGCGAATTTCACCACAGCCAACTGCTAATATCTCCCACTAAATAGAACACTGTTCATCATGCAGGAACAAGATATCGATAGTGATTCTGAGTGGCAACGATTTATTGATTTAAGTTATCAGGGCCCTGTAAACACTTCCATTCTTCAGAGGTTAAAGACCAAGTTGCTTGTAACCAAAAACCAGGTAACGTTCTGTTAAATGTCACAAGACATTTGAAATTGGTAAGTGAGTGTGAATTAGTGTTTAAAGACTCACGGATCTGTCCAGCTATTGGTCAGGAAGGGTGAAGAGACCTCTTCAACTCTACAGCCACTAAAGATCCTCAGGAACATTGTTCAGAGCTGTCAGTCTGGTGATGTTGAAACACTGGGCAAAGAGTTGGAACTGCCTCATCTACTGTTCAGTCTGATTGAAGACATCCTGAACATTCCAGATCTAATGCAGGTCAGAAAAATGCAGATACAGTATGTTCTTCACATATGTGTGTTATCTATAGAGGGCACAAAAATGAATATATACATTCTATATTAGGGCTGGGTAAAAAATATTGATATCGATATTAATCGATTCTCATTTTTACGGAACGATATCGATTCTTAAATCCCAAGAATCGATCATTCTATCCTGTTTTCAGTTAATGGACGGAACGTTGAAGGGCACTTCCCATCCAATATATGACAATAAGCATTGTCCTTTGGTACTTTTAATATGAAACAAAGTCTCAGATTTCAAATTCTTTCCATTGTATTGCGGTATTCAAACAATAAATACCGTTTTGGCGCTGTTTAATGTGAAGTGACAGATCGCTGTAGTGCCTCAGTTCAACAGACGCGGCAGCGTGTATAGCGCACGTGAACTGATCATCTCCTCCACATTAATACCAGTTTCAGCACAAAAAAAACATGATTAAACATCCGAAGGTAAGTTAAAAGAAAGAGTATAACTTTACAAGCCGTATCCTGTCTCATGTAATCGCTCAATCAGTGTTTCAGCCGCGCAAAAACGTCAATATAACGGCTTGTAAACAATGTCACGTAACGTCACATTTACCTCAGAAAAACATATTTGGTGACCATAAACTCATTAGTCAGATAGAAAAAAACTGTAGAGAGGGGCATTTTGCTAAATATATGCACCATACAACATACTCTATAAATTTTACTGCTCTTGTGTATTAATGTTTAATTTATGTTTGAATAAATCCATCAAGTTTTTATGACAGCCAACATTGTTTATATTTAAAAAAAAAACGAATTGAAGTAGAAATATTATGTAATTGCAACTTTATTATTTTAATAACTTCATTAAGTGTAATTTTAACAAATCAGTCCATTTTAACCTTCAATATTATAGTAATGTAGTACCAACTGACTCTCATGTATATTTTACAGCATTAGTTGAGAGATTTTTTTTCCTTGAGAAAATTTGGCATGTACTGTAACCTGATATGTATCCAAAATAATCGATATTGAATCGAATCGAATCGGTAATTGAATCGAATCGCAAGCTTGTGAATGAGAATCGAATCGAATCGTGAAATTTGTGTCAAAACCCAGCCCTATTCTATATGTTTGTTATTTTAAACATTTTTAAATAAGATTTTGTTGTTTAATTTTATTGAAAATGTTAATTATGAATTGTGAAATAAAATGTAAAATGTAGGACAGATTATTTTCTTTTAATAATTTAATGTAATCTATGGGACCTCATTCTTGATTTCTGACTGGTTGTTTTTTTGCTAAAGGAGTCTCAGGGTGAGACAGTATTGGGAGATATGATGAATGTGCTCATAATGTACCTGGAAAAGAGCCCAGGCTGGGAGATAAAGGGAAGAAGGTATGGATTTATGAATTGTTTTTTAATGTACACTTAAAGGTCCCCTGAAATGCTTAGAAACACGCAGCGTTACAAACTACATGAATAGCCTCAACTGAATAGCATACAACAATGGTATTTACTGATAAAGGAAAAAAATATGTTACTTAACTTTTTTTAACAGCTGTCCTTTCTTCTGTTGGAAAATGTTGAGTTTAACAATGAGTCTTATATACTTAGATTATATAATATGCAAATATATTACAAAATGTGATTATTATTGATCAAATATAAATATTGTTGTAATATAATTATCATTTAATTGTTATTAGTTATTTAGTTAGTTCATAAATAAATCAGCAATTAAAATCAGTTTGCCATATTGCTTATGGGACATTTAAACATAAAACATAATCTGTATCACTCTAAAAAAAAAAAGAAAAAAAAAAGCACTGTTAGTCATATCTATAGTGTTAAAGTCGCAATAAAATGGAAATAGGGACGTATCTTTTTTTCTGTTTTGTGCCATAAATCCCAGTGTAATGAATTATCGAAAAAGAAAAAAAAATGTAACAGGGGACTTTTTCTATTTATTGGTTGTTGATTGAATTTTGAGATGTGGGCGTTGCACTAAAACTGAATGCGAGCTTGACTGTCTGTAGTTTCACCAGAAAACTAAGTTATGAAAATTTGATTGAAAATTATAGACACATGCATGAATCAGTCTTTCACAATAAGATCAATCATATGCATTTACAAAATAGATGAATTTTCATTTCGTGCTGACTTTAATATGCTGTCAAATTACTATTTTTCCCTTCACTGATGAAAGTGTGAAAGCAGCCTACTGCTTGACTTTAAGGACTCAGAGCTTTGGCTCTGCTTGTGGGCTAAAGTAAACGCCTCTCTGGAAAACACAACATCCCAGATTTGCCATTTCTCTCCTAACGGTATTGAACATCAAGAGAACATTCACTTATTTCTGTATTGCAGCTTTAATATACCAGTAATTTAATAACATACATTTGTCTCTGTTTTTTCGTGCAGGTCTGTACGTGTTCCTTTCTCTCGCTTTATTGGTTTTCTCCAGCGATCCGTATAACTGTATGGCTCTCCTGTCAGATAACTCCACAAACTGCTCCTGTGCCCTCAGCCACCTTCTCACCACCAGTTGGTGAGCTTCAAACATTGCCTTTATAACTTACTAATGGTGTCAAACAGTTTTTCAATGTTCGTTTGTATATTAGTGTTTATTTGAAGTGCATCGAAGAGATTTACAGTGTATTTCTCATTTTATACTTCACAGCAGCGCTTCATTGCTTGAGCGGGGTCTTTTCTGGGGTGACTCAGAAATAAACAGCCTATCAGTGATGAGCTGTCATCTTCTCTGCATCCCCTTCTCTCTGGAGTTACCCCTAGATAAACTTATTTCTGTTCTCCAATCGTATCAAAGCTCACATATTGTGGCCGGTCTAGTTAAGGTATGGTTTTATGAAATACTATAAAAGTATTTCAGATGACTGATGTGTCTGTCCATTGGAATATCAGAAATGTAATTATTGTGGGGGTTTTTTTTTTTTTGCTGACTTGTCTTCTCGTTCAGATGATTCAAACTCTTCCCGTTGCCCTGGTGGAGCTTCCGTTGTGTCTTCTTAATCGTCTGCTGGTATCTGAGCCACAGCACACTGCTCCATGCCTTATCACTGCAGCCCAGGCCTCCGCTTTCCTCCCTTACAGCACAGAGGGCTCAGACAATGGAGCAGACCACACTCAGAATCAACTTAACCACTTCGGGAATGGTGACTGATGTGTCTGTCCATTGGAATATCAGAAATGTAATTATTGTGGGGTTTTTTTTTTTTTTGCTGACTTGTCTTCTCGTTCAGATGATTCAAACTCTTCCCGTTGCCCTGGTGGAGCTTCCGTTGTGTCTTCTTAATCGTCTGCTGGTATCTGAGCCACAGCACACTGCTCCATGCCTTATCACTGCAGCCCAGGCCTCCGCTTTCCTCCCTTACAGCACAGAGGGCTCAGACAATGGAGCAGACCACACTCAGAATCAACTTAACCACTTCGGGAATGGTGCGGAGCGAATTAAGAGCAATGGAATCGCAAAGAAAACCAAGATAGATCATATCAAAAGTGACATCAAATCAAAGAAGAGGTTCGAGCGGCTCAAAGGCAACATAGATGCATCTAAGGAAAAAAATTATTCCATAAAGACGCAATACCAGCCATCCAGAAACAAGACTGAGAAAATCAGAGAGGTCCAACCAAAAACCAAAATATATCCACAGAACACCATGGAACAACTAAGAGATAAAACAGAGCAGCAGAGCGGTTGTATAGAGGAGCTCATGGACAGTTTGGAGATCCATGGCAGTTCTGCAGGACGTCTCCAAGACCTCTCACCTCAGCCAGGGTGCAGCATCAGCTGGCTTATAGACAGTCTGGAGGAATTAAGAAGTTGTGATCACCCCAAGATCTCCACGGCTAAAATTCGATCTTCACCAGAAGAGGTCAGAACAGCAGGTTCTCTGTTGGCTGTTCTGCTACAAAGTGAACTTCTCAGTGGGTGTGCAGTGGAACTCCTTATCCTTCTCTCCCAACTAACACGTCATCTCACCCATCAGTCTTCCTTCTTTCTTCCTGTCGAAACCACCCAACTGCGGTTTGCATTGCGCCACCGCGATGATGGAATCCGAGCGGCCTGCTGTGGCTTACTGGGCCACCTGGGCTCAGGTGTCAGGCAGGTCATTGGTGAATCAAAGTTCGACTTATTCCAAGATCTGTTAGGTTGCTTATGTGATCCTGCTCCGTCCATTCGTAGGACAGCCTGCAAGGCGGTGGGAAACTGGCTGAGTGTAATGGGAAAAACCGATCTAACTCTTTCTAATAAAGGTTTCAAGAATACGACTGACGTTAATGCCTTGTCAGTACAAAACAAATTGAGGAGGACACCAGCAATGGAAGGCGTCAGACATAGTGAGAGAGACGTATGGATAGAGCTCGCCATAGGAGCTGCCCGTCCCCTCGTGTCTCTGCTGTCAGATGCTGATAATGTCATTCGACAGCACTGCTGTGGGGCTTTGGCTAACCTGGCTGCTTTTGGCGGAGGGGATGGAGCACTTCTCAATGCAGATGCTCCAGGCATGATTCTCCAAACTGCCTGTAATGATTCCCATCATGCAGTGCGACGGGTGGCTGTGGCCACTCTGCGTGTGTTTAGCCAACAAAACACATTACTGCAGGTAAGAGCAGTGTGAATCAGTTTAGATGTTTGGGGTATATAGTCATGGTGTACATTACACTTTCATAAAATATATGGTTGCGCAAAGAGTGCAGTTCTTGGTGGATTGTATTTAAACCTGAAGGAAATTGAATATAGAGCTGCTTTTGTGCTGTATTGCATCATTTTGACAATTGTGCAAAAAAAACTGAAAGACAGACAAAGCTGGTAGAAAAAAAAACCTTACTGTCATTTTCACATTTTCCCCTTCCTTTCCTCAAGGCTCTGAGGTCTCTAGATGCAGGAAGAAAACTCAGTGGCACATCCCAAAGCTCTTTATTTCAGAGGGATTATCGATGGCTTGTCAGCAAGTTGGACGGGTCGGTTGAAGGAAAAACATAAACATCAGCCTCATAGTTTGTGTGTAAGCCAGAGGATGTAATTTCACATTATTCAAATATGGATTGCTTGCTGCGTCTGTGGCTGGAAAAGCTTTCTTTTTGCCTGTATTTATTTGATCTGTGATCAAAAGAGTTTGACTACATATTCTGAGAAAATGGCATTAACTCAAACATCCCCAAAAAAATAAACATTATATCTTACATTTAAATGTATATTTAGATATATTTCAAATGTAAGGTTTTTTATTATTATTCAGCGAATGTTTGCATTTTTGATTCACACACGGATATTTAAGACTGTTAAGATTGTTTGCTCGCTCTTTTTTTCTGTATATAATAACAAAACTGCACTTGTATTTTTATGATGTGACTATTTTGCAGCCTTAATTGTTTGTATTTATTATTTCCTATTATTTTATAGAAATGTAGCCCAGCTCAAAAAATAAATTATATCTATGTATCGAAAAAAAAATCGGTGTTTCCTAAAGGATATATTATAATGACGTAAATAAGTCTTTACGGGGGATAAAAATGTGATATTCGGATTTCATTAGTCACATTCTTATGTTGTTGTTAACATTATACAAATCCTTAAATGAATAAACAGAATTTCATTAAAATGTGTCGGTCCTGTCTGTCTTACGTGTGATTTTTTGTTTCGCTTGTTTGCTTTAACTGGACAAATCGTCTTTCCCTGTAAGTTTATGTTTTGTTTCTAAAATGGCTTAATTGATTTTATCTGGGATTGAACGACCTAACGTCCGAACTTTTTTACTTTTCAAACGTGTTTGTCACAAGAAAAGCATTTTGACTTGTATCCGAAGTACTCAACCTTTAATTAGGCCAACGTTTGTTTTTAGGAACAACGATTTAATCTAAATTAAATTATAATTTTAGATACATATTAAAAGAAACTTTCCAGTGAAATTTTTTTTGACTGTTTTTAGGAACAACGATTTAATCTAAATTAAATTATAATTTTAGATACATATTAAAAGAAACTTTCCAGTGAAATTTTTTTTGACTGTTTTTAGGAACAACGATTTAATCTAAATTAAATTATAATTTTAGATACATATTAAAAGAAACTTTCCAGTGACATTTTTTTTGACAGACGTGAACTAGCCTACTACTGTTTGTGTAAATCATTATAGACCTTTAGCGCGCAAAGTTAAAGCGCAGGTTTGTTTTAATTCATAGTTGTAAAAACACTTAAAAACTTTATTTTAAAGATACTTAGAAAGGTTCGTACATTTAAAAAAAAATTGGGGGAAAGGGAAAAGTAAATTGTAGCGTGTGAATCAAATTAATTATTGTTTTTATAAGCTGATTATTCAAATATGTCCTCTAAAATGACACTCGCTTGTTCGTCTTAACACTCAAACACAGAAATATTATTTAATGGTTAATTACAGTCCATACGATCTGTTTGATTATTTGTGATCATGTTTTCGCCTCAGTGTGTCTGTGTGTGAAAATGACGGAAATCAACTACATTTAAATGCTATTTGGTGAAAAGCAACAAGTATTGAACAATAAACATCTAGGGCTGATCGGTGTTCAGAAACTATAAATAACCGGACCTGTTAAAATAGCCTCGACATAAATATGAATGAATCAATCGCTACACAGTAATAAGACTTTAGACAGGCATAAAAAGAGTCTTGTTTTCCCTATATTTTGGGCTCCTTGTACATTTGGTTCTGCCTGGGTTCTTTATTAAATAAGAAACGTAAACGTTTACTAATCCAAAACGACTTTCATGACACAAAAGGCAGGAATGAAAATTACAGTTAATAATAAAACACGTCTCAAAAATACATATATTTAAACACCCTGCATTTGTATAATAATCGTGTTAAGCTATTCTTTTTTTTTCTCCCTCTCTCACACACACATACACACGTAACTGACAGTGTGTGGAATTATTTGAGTTTCCTTCCTCCACATCGGGCTTTAGTGAGGATAGGGAATAGCTCTGCTCCATATATTTGGCTTTCAAAGCTGTAAACAATTTTCCGGCCAAACAAGGGATAAACTCGGTTTATTCGTTAAACTGAAGGTCTACTGATTAAGCTCTGAAAATCTCACATGAAGCCATCATCGCCAAAATGCACTGCTGCCGACACAAATCACTTTATTTGAATTCAATGGAATAACAGGAAACACGAAGTAATTAATCGGAGACGATACATCGAAATGCCTCGTAAAGAATGACTAGTCTTAGTATTATAGCTGGTGTAAACTCTTGGAAATCGTGTGCCTTCGTTTTGGGTTATTAAAAAAAAGAAAAAGAAAACTCAACTTCACAAAGTGACCGTACAACACAGCGTATAATTAGCTATATTTCATAAACATGATTGTATACCGCCCAGGAAAGCATATTTCAAGTCGATATGCTAAGCTCTCTCAGTATCTAGGTTGCTTATTTAGAGGAATTAAATTATATTTGTAATATTGCTACGTAGTAAGGTACACACCACACTTCGGTAAAAAATGCCATAAAAGTAATAAAGAGGAAGAAAAAAAGGGGAACTAATTAAAGCCTGATTTGCAGTTGATTCCTTTGATGTTGTTGTAATTGTGATTAATGCATGTCTCTTATTTGAGCAAGTAGAAAATCAGAGTCACTAGACATCACAAAGTGACCGTACAACACAGCGTATAATTAGCTATATTTCATAAACATGATTGTATACCGCCCAGGAAAGCATATTTGAAGTCGATATGCTAAGCTCTCTCAGTATCTAGGTTGCTTATTTAGAGGAATTAAATGATATTTGTAATATTGCTACGTAGTAAGGTACACACCACACTTCGGTAAAAAATGCCATAAAAGTAATAAAGAGGAAGAAAAAAAGGGGAACTAATTAAAGCCTGATTTGCAGTTGATTCCTTTGATGTTGTTGTAATTGTGATTAATGCATGTCTCTTATTTGAGCAAGTAGAAAATCAGAGTCACTAGACAAGTAATATAAACTCCTGAAATTGACTAAGTTGTAAACAGGAAAATCATAACATTTGTCAAAGATTGTGCATGATCGCAAATGCAAAAAATCGTAACTTGAATCATTTACATTGTTGATGAAATATTGCTACGAAGCTGGGAAGTCTGCAATTCTAAAGCCACCACAATCATTTCAGTGATTATTTAAAAAGCCATATCACTACAAAGATTTTACTTTCTGTCTCCCAACACTCACTTGTACATTAGAGCAAACAAGCTTTATAAAATCACAAACCCTGATTGTAGTCGCAATAACAGCAGAGACATTGGGCCAAACAGCAGTTTGTGAGTCAAATGCCACTCATTCACCTCTAATGAAACGTGTTTGCCAAGAGAATATAAAACAGGACTTCTTAAGCAAGAAAGACTTTTGCAGTAACATGTCATTCAGACGAAAGAAAAACAAACATTCTTTATAAAAAGCCATGAAATCTTCAGCATGCAAGAACAAAAATACAGGGAATCAACACACATAACATTATTAGGCAGTGCCATATCTTCAGCATCGAGTTACAAACTGACATACCTCAATGACTTTGGACATAAATCGTATACCTGAGCTGCAGGACTAATCTAAAATTGGGGATTCAAAAACACATCATCAGGTTCGTTATTCCTGAGGGAAATTTATTTCGAGAAGTGCTTCACCTGAAACTCAATGTATAAGAAACAGATTGCTTTTAATATCAGTGCTCATTAATTAATTCATAAATGGAAGGAAAAAAGGAACTACCAATGTTGTACTGATTGTACATCATTAGTATTAGTACCATAAATGTTGAAACTGCTAATAAATAAATAAAAATAAAAAAACAGCCTCTGTATAAATTAAAATCAGTGCAGGTCATATGCAGAACTTGTGACATTACCTTACAGCCTTTTCTAAATAAATGAAGATGCGTTTAATTCGATCTTGCCTTATTCAGTGTTGATTTCTGTCAATCCTGAACAGTAAACGCTCTGTTGTTAAAGCTCATTTATGGAAACCAGAAGATGATCCGTCTAGCCACTCTTGAGAAAAGTAAGAGAAAACAATCAAAAACGGCTGTCGTTACAGTCAAAGACATAATCACAGTGCATATTGACTGATTTGGAGTTATTTCTGAGAAAGTGGATGTCTGTGCTGCAGCTGTTGATGGATTTTGTCAGTTTGTAACGAAAATTAAATCATTGAGTAACGTGCAATAGTACAACCTCCACCACATCCTAAAAAAAAAAGAACACATTCAGTCAGAAAACATTCCAAATCAAATCTCCATTGCCTTTCAGACTGCTAACAATTCTACTTGCAGGACCATTGTCAGGTGGTCGAGCTTTTGGTCAGGCGCTGGTTTCCTGTTTGAGACGTTGGCTGCGGGCCTTGTACACCTCAATCAGGAGGTCTTTCACGTACTGGATCTCTCGTTCCACCGATTCTGCCTTGTCCCGTAGCTCACGGTTTCTGCCCTCCAGACCATGAAGCTGTTCCTCCAACGTGTCCAACTCCGCTCGCTTCCTTTGGCGATACCTGTTAAAAAATGATTAATACAGAGGATATTCCGTTTTACTTACAGAAGGTGTGGTCTTTTAAATCCCACAAGCAGCTACTTCGTAATGCCCGCCGGCACTGTAGTCTGAAGCATAATATTTTGTACTTTCATGACTAAGTGTAACTTTCAGAACTCCACCAAATTTTCTATGCTCACTTGTCAAGAATACAATTGACCCCATTGTGATACTGCAAGTACTCTACCTGTGAGCTGCAGTCTTGTTCTGGTCTCTCTTCTTCTGTTTGCGTTCACCATGGTTCACTTGGATTAGTGGCACCTCGAGGTCTGGTTTCACAATGCAGGGGTCTTCTTTCAGCACACAGACTCCTCTGGCACACGGGGACCCCATTTCAGGTCCGTGGTGGTCACCGCTCAGGCAGTCGGGGCTTTGGCCTTCGAGAAAGCCACAGTGGAAGTTATGTTGCCGGTGGATCTCTACGCTCTCCGCCTTCACTGGGTCATTGATGGCCCCAAGGAAGCTGTGGTAGGCCTCTTCTTGGGATGTACCTTGGAGGAAACAGCTTTCGTTGGGTTCCGTCTTCCAGGAGATGTTGGCCTTCGCATCGCTAGCACCATTCTTGGCTTCGCTCATCATCTCCATCTCCGCACTTACTCCTATGCCGCTTAAATTGACTTCTCTGGTGCCGTACATCATCATTTCATCTTTCTTGTGGGGAAATTGAATGGATCCGCTAAAGTTGTACCCACCGCCGCCACCGCCGGCCTTGCTCACACCGACGGCCTCTTCCGTGTAGCGGCAGTTCTTCTCCTCTTTGGGTAAAATGGCGCACCTCCTGATCTCCACTGCACTGCCTAGGCAGTAGCCTTTGCCTACCACCCGCTCATCTTCAGCACAGCTGTAGCTCCCACCAGGT